ACAGTACAGTACAAGTAGCCTACTTCTGGGTCTATGTGTTTCATTCAAGCTCTGCTCTGTGTGTGTGTGGCACGAGCCATTTTGTGTGTGGGCACGAGCGAGCGAGAGAGAGAGCGCCCACCGGTACCAGAGATTGTTGTGGTTAGCATCTGGTGCTAAAAATCTTCCCGGAGGAGCATGCCCCCGGACCCCCCTACAGGATGTTAGGTCCACCCCCCACTTGTAAAAATGAGCTGATTATCAAGCCTTCATTGTAACAGTCACACTGTGTATGTGCCTGTGGGGAGTGTTGCAGTAGAACATTTTACTGTAGCGCCCGGTACCTTAATGGGAAACCCTAAATGTTTGAGCACCCTCTATGAAACGTCAAGCTACCCCACAGCACCCCCAAAAGAAAATCTCTGGTGCCGCCACTGTTTCTTATGCGCAATTACTTCATACTGTCTTTGTCGTCCTGCATTTATTGTGCCCCCCTCAGAAAATAACTGGCCCCAGCCTGGCCCCCCCAGTCAAATTGGTCTAGAACCCGCCACTGCCTGGCCGACATCTTCAGTCTCTACAATGAAACGAACAAGCGTCTGCAAGGCGTGGAGTCCAACATAATCCAATGTAAAGAGGCGCTCGATGCGTTTGTGCGCAAACTGGAGTACAGGGTCGGGAAAATGGAGAGGGGGGAGCTGCAACAGTTTCCACTATTGCTGAAACAATCCCGAAACAATCCTGAAACTGTGCCTGTGTCTGTACGTCGCGAGTTCATCTGCCATATGAACGCACTGCAAAAGGAAATGAAATCACGGTTCGCTGACATAGACGAGTACGTCTCTAAGGAATTGTGGGTTTTAGATCCCTTTATTGCCAAAGTTGAGGATGTGGAATACCTGGATTGCGAAGATGAGCTCACCGACATCCAAGCTGACTCTCTGTCAAAGAAATACTTCCAGGAAAAAGGATTTAAAACGTTTTGGATTGTCAAAGGACCAAGCCTCGCTCCAAAGCTCACACTGCATGCGACGACCAGGATTATACTCCCATTCAGTACGACATATCTCTCAGAAACAGCCTTCAGCGCACTTGTTGCCATCAAAACAAAAGCATGCAACACACTGGACGTTCACAACGACTTTAGACTGGCTGTCACTCACATTACACCGGACATTCCATCCCTGGCTGCGGGCATGCAAGCCCAAGGTTCACATTAATGAACCTACTTGAACCTCGTCTTCTCTCTGCTACCTGTTCCATGTCAGATAAGCATTTGATTTACCTGCTTAATATGCCAGTTTTTAATTTTTGTTTTATACAGGCCTATGCCACCATATTACCATTTTTTTATTAGGCATAGTCTATTATTTTGAAGTGTCCTGTTCTTCTGAATTTGAAATAAATATGATGCATACAATTGCAAGTTAGTAGCTAATAAAGGCATAAAAAGACAGAAATGTATCATTTTTTCTTTAATAGAAATGTTTCTTCTGCATTTGATACTATCGACCATGATATCCTATTGCAAAGACTAGAGCCCTTAGTTGGCATAAAGGGAACTGCTTTAGGCTGGTTTAGGTCCTATCTATCTGAACGCTCTCAGTTTGTGTGTGTCAACGATGAATCTTCCATGCAGACCAAAGTGAGACATGGAGTGCCACAGGGCTCAGTGCTTGGACCTATTTTGTTCACATTATATATGCTTCCGTTAGGCAATATTATAAGGAATCATTCTGTAAATTTCCATTGTTATGCGGATGATACTCAACTATATTTATCCATCAAGCCTGATGAATCCAATCATCTAAATAAAATTCAAGACTGCCTCAAGAACTTAAAAACATGGATGACCTTACATTTCTTTATGTTAAACACGGCCAAAACTGAAGTTATTGTACTCGGCCCAAAGAATCTACGAAACAAACTATCTAAAGATATATTAACTATGGATGGCATTCATTTGGCCTCCAGTGAGACTGTAAGGAATCTTGGTGTTATGTTTGATCAGGATTTATCTTTTAACGCCAACATAAAATCAATCTCAAGGACCGCCTTCTTTCATCTACGTAACATTGCAAAAATCAGGCATATCTTGCCTCAAAACGATGCAGAGAAACTAGTCCATGCATTTGTTACTTCAAGGCTGGATTATTGTAACTCTTTATTATCAGGGTGTACCAAAAAGTCAGTTAAGTCGCTTCAGCTAATTCAAAATGCTGCAGCACGTGTACTAACTAGAGTTCGGAAAAGGGACCACATTACTCCTGTTCTGGCTGCCTTACACTGGCTCCCTATAGAACACAGGATAGAATTTAAAATTCTTCTTCTCGCCTACAAAGCCCTTAATGGGCAGGCGCCATCTTACCTTAAAGAACTCATTATACCCTACTGTCCAACTAGGGCATTGCGTTCCAAGAATGCACGGTTGTTGGTTGTTCCTAGAGTCTCTAAAAGTACAATGGGAGCCAGAGCCTTTTCTTATCAAGCTCCACATTTGTGGAATCAGCTTCCAGTTTGTGTTCGGCGGCAGACACCCTATCTGTTTTTAAGAGTATGCTTAAGACCTTCCTTTTTGATAAAGCTTATAGTGGATAAAAGAATCTAATAAGAGTGCATTGACGTAGACACGTTGTGCCTCTTCACCTATACATTTTAGTTCTTACTCTTTTTCCTTACTGATGGTATGTAATTTGGTAGTGTGTGTAGACAGTGGAAGCAGGGAGAGGCATAGACGTGCCTTGATCCCTGCCGAGTCGACGCACAACTGTTGATTGGTGTCAGTGCCAAAAAACTTTTTAGGAGCAATGCGCTCATGGTATGAATGTGGCGCATACATCTTAATTCCTACTCTTTTCTCTCACCCTATCCTAAGGGAGTGCATGTACGTAGACACGTTGTGCCTCTCCACCTCTGTTCCTTACTTCTTACTTGCTACCCCTTTCCCTCAATCTATCCTAAGGGAGTGCATGTACGTAGACACGTTGTGCCTCTCCACCTCTGTTCCTTACTTCTTACTTGCTACCCCTTTCCCTCAATCTATCCTAAGGGAGTGCATGTACGTAGACACGTTGTGCCTCTCCACCTCTGTTCCTTACTTCTTACTTGCTACCCTTTTCCCTCAACCTATCCTAAGGGAGTGCATGTACGTAGACACGTTAGTTTAGCTGCTATAGGCTTAGACTGTCGGGGGACACCTTACTTCTTCCTTCTCTCTGTCTGTACCTGTGTACTCTCATGTTCCGAATAACCCAGCTTCCCCCAAATTTCTTTTTGGTGTCTATCTACGCCGGGATCCTGAGTCGTGGCTGATCCTGTTGCTGCGGTCCTGTGTCCTGGATCCTCTATCCTGAGTTCTGGATTTGAGTCCTGGACTTCGAGTCGTGGCTGAACCTATCACTGTGGTCATGCCTGACTCTCATCATACTACTTCCCTGATGGCTCCCACATGATTGTTGACATCCTCGTGGATTCATCTTCTTATTATAGACACATGCATTTCCAAACATTTGGTCTACCTATGCTGTAAAATGTATTATCTCTTCGATTTACAAACGGCATCTATTGCACGTCTGTCCGTCCTGGGAGAGGGATCCCTCCTCTGTTGCTCTCCCTGAGGTTTCTCCCATTTTTCCCTTTAAACTGTGGGGTTTTTCTCTGGAAGTGTTTCCTTGTACGATGTGAGGGTCTAAGGATAGAGGGTGTCGTATTGTCATACTGATATTCTGTACAAACTGTGAAGTCCACTGAGACAAATGTAACATTTGTGATATTGGGCTATATAAATAAACATTGATTGATTGATTGTCACCTCCACTTAGTTAAAAAGCCCTCGTCTAAGTGAGCCACGGGAAGCACGAGCACCCCCCAATAAATAAATAAACAAATAACTCATATAATTTTCTTCAGCTCAACCAGGACAAAACTGAGCTCTTAATTATTAGTTCTGGAGCTCAGAGAGAGAAACTGGGTTCAGAACTTCATTAACTAAATATAAAACCTTGCCAACAAGTTAAGAACCTAGAGGTAATCTTAGACTCAGAGCTAAACTTTGAACCACATATCAGAAATATAACAAAAAGAGCATTTTATCATCTCTGGAATATTGCCAAAGTACAACTGTTTCTCTCTCAGGCCAGTACAGAGACACTGATGCACGCTTTGATAACATGTAGAATCCATTACTGCAATGCACTACTTTCTGTTCGGCCTAAAAAGAATATTCCACCACTATAACTGCTGCGAAACTCAGCTGCACGTGTTTGAACGAGGACCAGAAACAGAGCACACATCACCACAATTGTAAAGTCTCTGCACTGGCTTCCTGTGAGCTACAGAATCAATTTTAAAATACTTTAATTGGTTTTTAAAACTCTTAATGGTCTTGGGCCTAGCTATTTATCGGATTTGCTTTTAACCTATGAGCCCTCTAGAACCCTCAGGTGTTCTGGTACTGGCCTTTTAATCGTACCCAAAGGTAAAACAAAGACCCACGTGAGCATCATTTTATTAGCGGATCTGAGGCAGCAGAGAGCGATCACACTTTTAAGATAAAAAATCAAGACCCACCTTTTTTATTTGACTTTTAACTGAATTGTATTTTATTATTCTTTAAAAAATGTGTATTGTGTGTATTTATGTATGTGTATGTATGCATACATATATATAAATGTATACAGTGTATATCGCAAAGCTATGAGTTACACTGATTATTAACCTGGAAGGGAGAGATAGTATTGTTTCTATTTGTGAATTATCTATGTTTTTTTGTGAAGCACTTTGTGTTACCACTGTGCAAGGTGCTATATAAATAAAGCTTGATTTGATTTGATGGAGCAGGTCATTATATCTATATATAATATATGCTGTATGCAATATTTAAACGACAGCCTAGTTTAGTATTGGCTTACAGGCTGTTAGCAGAGGAATCTGTTACCCGTACATAAACAGAGAGGGGGGTTATGTTCTGGAAATACATCTTAAAAATGTGTCCTTGACTATTTTACTTCATTGACTCTTACCGTTGCTTGTGGTGTTGACGTAGTATCGGCAGCCTTGTGGAGACATGTAGCATCTCCACTGAGGAGGCAGGGGGTCTCTGAGCCCCTCCACAGGGAGCTGACAGAGAGATGCTGTCCTCTGTCAAAACACACAGTCAGCTTGTGTCAATAACCATCAGCACTTTGGATTTTAATTTAAAACACATGTTAGATCAAAGGTAAAGATGTATTTCTTAAAGGACTGTCTAAATCAAAAAAAGTGCTGGAGATAAAACATTTAACAGAATTTAACAAAAACACTGAAGGCTCTAAAAAAAAAAGTAGAAGAAGAATTGTGCAACAAATAGTTTGACTTCAATTAGGTTCCCACTTCCTCAAGTATTTCACAACCAGCAGCCAATGACTTCAGAGTGGAGCAGGCTGCACTGCCACATGCAGAACAAGGGAGTGTGTGCACACACTTTACAGCTGGAGAACACACACTGCACACATCTGCTGCTGATCAGCAGAAAGAAACAGCACTGCACCACATTTTACACTTTAGAGATGCTGTTTTGAGAAATTCTATATCAGCTGCAGTTTTTCATGGTAACAACCCCACAGAAAATTAGCAACAAACTCTGAACCCCCCAGCATCGTAACAAGCTTTATAGTGTGCCTTTGGTTTTAAAGTCCAGAACTGTTTCCCTTCATTCTGTCTGCTCTCAGGGAACTCCTACCAACCAATGCACTGCTGACCACACGTGCCAATCAGAACACGGACAAAGTCCATTAGCAATTATCTAATTGAGAATGAATGCACAAAACTACAATAGGCAGGAGTCCAGAATCAGACTCCAAATAAATGATCATGACCGCTCTGCTCTTTGGATTTATGGTTTTGTCTAGGAGAAGGCTGTGGCTCAGTGGTGTAGTGCGCTGAACTTTGAATCAGGGGGTAGCAAGTTCGAGTCCCACTGCAGTCAGCATGTCGTTGTGTCCCTGGGCAAGACACTTCACCCCAAATTGTTCCTGTGGGGATTGTCCACAGCAGTGGCGAGCCGTCAGGGCCCTCTAGGCCCTCTGTGAGGGCCTAAGATATTCCAAAAAATAATATTTAAAAACATTAAAAAAATATATATTTTTTTTAAATATATATTTTTTTAATATTATTTTTGTTATATTTTTCATTAGTTTTACCGAAAAAAAACTTGATTTAATAAAATAACATTTCCAAATAAATCCTTTGAATCTGCCTGTTCAGTCTCTGTTTGAATGTGGGTTACATGAAAGAAGCTCATCTGGCCCTCTCTGCGATTCACAGAGGGCCCGCTATAGTAACTGAACGAGAGAGTAATGTCAAATGACAGTACAATTGACCAATCATATCTTCCCTCTCAATGGGTGGGTTTTATTATCGCGGACTAGATGACAAGTTCCGCCCGCTGTGAAACTTTTCTTGTTTCCATAGCAACAACAACTTCCTGTCAACAGCGTGAACTCGCCTTCAAAATAAAAGCATGCCAAATTACACTTAAGACATACAACTGCAACGAAAGTAACAAACACAATGTAATATCATTTTCAATGTCAAAGAACACAAATTGGGTTCACAGGTGTTGTTTTGTGTGGTAGAGGGTCGCTGTCATTGATGCGTTTTGCACCCTGGGCCGTTGTTTTGATATTCCGCTGAAGTATACGCTGTGAAGTAATAACTCTTTTTTTTCTTCTTTTTTTCGAGGGAAGTGGTGGGGGTCAGAGGGCCTAGGTATAAAGCTCACGGCTCGCCACTGGTCCACAGTACTGAATGTATGTAAGTCGCTTTGGATAAAAGCGTCTAACAAGTGACATGTAATGTAAATGTAATGTCTTGTTTTTTCCATGTCAACAGCTTTTGTTAACCTGTTATGCCCGGTGCCAGTTTATCAGGCCTTAGGCTCAAAAATGACATGCCCAGAACAAATGACTATACCTTTACTTCTAAAAGGGGAAAATTAATAATCTTTTTTCTTAAAGCAATGATACACGTGTGAGTTGGCTGTAGAAAAGTCAGAATCAAAATAGATGTTTTTATTTTAAAGTAAATTCAGATTGAACATAGTAAAAAAAAAAAAATGATAGTCTCCGCGGGAGGGGGCTATGGGGCTTAACAGGTTAAGGGTGCAAAAATTAATCGACTTAATCGATTAAAATCGATGACCAAATTAGTTGCCAACTAATTCAGTCGTCGAATCGTTGATGACGTCATCCCGTGTGTTTTACGCGCCGTTAAGCTCCAACGTTATCGGTCTTTTTATCGGTACTGGAAACATTTAAAACATATATGTCATATGTATTATTGCTACATAAACATTATATCGCAGTTTTAGTGTCGCCAACTCCGTTTCTAATATGCAATAATACTACAAAATGTATTTTCGATCTTTCCAATCCAGACGAGAGATCTTTCTCCCCTGTCTGTGTGCGAGGGGGCGGGGCGGTTTACACACACGCCCTGCAACATGCATGCAACACACACACACGGCGGAGATGGCGGAGAGAAGCGCTCCAAGGTGTGGTTAAACTTTACCCGTCTCGATGTGGACAATGCTCGTTACCAAAAGTGCAATAAGAGTTTAGCATGTAAGGGCGGTAACACGAGCAATTTGTCTAAACATTTAGCAAAAGTGCACCACATTCAGAAATGCACCGTTTTCGACTGTCTTTCTATTAGCTCTGTAGCCCCATCCACGAATAACGTTTCCACGTCAGGTTTGTTATGTATGCTAGCAGCAACACACAGAGTTAACAAAATTATACAAACATGGGTTAATGATTAGAGCTAACTGAGTTATTTAGTTTGTTAAAGTTTCAGCTATTCTGTTTACAATTCTGTCATCACATTATTTAATACGATTTTGTTAAAACGTTGTTGTTTCTTTTGATGTGAAATATTATTTATTTAATTTAAATAAAAAGCAATGTTCATTTTGTTCACAATTTGTTTAGTTAATTTACCTTATTTTTTTTCAAAAGAACCGTTAAGAGTACCGTTAAGAGTACCGTTAAAGGACCGGATCGATAAGCGGTATCGATAAAAGTAGTAGTACCGTTAAAACCTTAACGATACCCATCCCTACTTGACAATGCGAAAAAGGTTATCTTTTATCTGATCTGATCTGCTATCCTTGGTTTAAAATGTTGACGGACAGATTTTTTATTTATCTTTAAGCAGAAAGTTTAATAAAAGATGTATTTGTGAATCAAGTATTCATCTTTATTGTCTTCATTGTTAGTTTCCACATGCCTAAAACAACCTCAAGCTAAATCAAAAAGTTGATGGCTAAATAAGAGTGTTTGAGAAATTGTGCAAGGCATAATCCGAATAATCGATGAATCGTTTAATTAATCGATAGATTAATCGATTATTAAATTGGTCGTTTGTTGCAGCCCTAGCTGCCATACATGTAGAGTCAGATGGAATTGTGTCATGGTGTTTGATTTGATTTTAAATGGACACAGGGACAACACATTTGCTGTACCTGATAGAGGCACTGACTGCTTGTCTGATTTTCTGAATGTTGTCAGTGAAGAAGGAGGCAAATGCATTGCACGCCCTGGTGGATAGCAGTTCAGAGGCTACTGACACTGGGGGGTTTGTTAGTCTGTCGACGGTAGCAAACAAGGCACGAGCGTTGTTTTTGTTTTTGGCAATGATGTCAGAGAAGAAAGACTGTCGTGCGTTTTTCAATTCCAAATTATAAAAGCCAAGTCTCTCTTTATAGATTTCAAAATGAGCCTGGAGATTTGTTTTTCGCCACCTGCGTTCAGCTTTTCGACACTCTCTTTTTTCTGTTCTCACGGTCATGGCCTTTCTCTATGGAGATATTTTCTTGCCAGACACTTCCTTTACCTTAGTTGGAGCAATGGCATCTATAACATTTTTAATTAAAATGATCTACTAGCTCATTTACAGAGATGTTAGCAAGGGTAAGTGTGGAAGAAAAATTCTGAACAAACATTTCCTTAGTATTTTCAGTTAAATATTGCTTTGTGGTTACCTCTTTTTGAACATTTTTGTGAACAGAAATAGAGCTCTCAAAGAAAACACAGGACTGATCAGAGTACAACATCAGTCACCATAACCTTAGAGATATTCAGACCCTTTGAGACAATTAAGTCCAGAGTGTGCCCCTTATTGTGCGTGGGCTCCGCCACATGCTGAGTCAGTCCATAGTTATCAGGAACACAAAACAGTTCTTTAGCCCCTCTATCCTGGGGGTTGTCAACATGGATGTTAAAATCACCAACAATGACGAGACGGTCAAAGTCGGGCGGGAGATTAATATGATTGGTTGTTGGTCCCCTGCCAGACACGCCCACCGGCAAGCTTCAACGCGACGCTGCCGTGTAGACGTACCGTCACTCAGCCTGAGCTCCGCGGCCCCACGCAGCAACCAGGAAACGACACCAGTAATCCACCTCACACTGTCCGCTCCTCGAGCCCCACAGGGAGGACCAGCGAGCGCCGCAACGTCCCGCCAACACGGCACCCAGACCCCACGCAGCATTCTCATCTGTTTGTCATTACTGGTGTCATTTTCTGGTTGCTAACAAACGCCATTGTAAAACATAAACACTGATGTTCAGCTGTAACGGTGGTTGACTAATCAGAACAGAGTGGGCGAGCTGACGAATCAGAGCACAGTGGTCTCATAGGGAGACTTCTTGGAGACCCTGGAAAGAGTCCTGTATGGGGCTCCTAAAGGGGGCTCCTTAGTCTTGCTGGGAGACTTCACCACACGGGGGCAATGATGGAGACACTTGGAGGGGTGTGATTGGGGGGAACGGTCTCCCTGATCTGAACCCGAGCGGTGGTTTGTTACTGGACTTCTTCTTCTAAATAATCTATTTATCTATTAATAACCAAGCCAAAATACCCAAAAGCCAAATTCAAGCTACAGGAGAAAGTGCGACCTTTCTTCATCATATTCAAAATAGTGATGGGAATTATGGCTCTTTGAAGGGAGCCGGATCTTAAGGCTCCGTTCCTTTGCGAGAGCCGTTCAAAAGAGCACTGTAAAAAATGGCTGTGAAATCCACAGTTATTTACAGTGTTTGTGCACAGTAAATTACTGTATACTATTTTAGAGTATAATACCGTGTTTCCAACCAAAAATT